ATTTATTTTAGTAGCAGTGCATTATTAAAAACATAGTAAAACTTGTAAGTTTCTGATCAAACTTGTTGAACATTTGACACAGATTTTATACTACAAGCTAATCAGTAAAAGATACGAAAAAACTTTGTTCGGACAAAAGATGCAATTTCAAATTACGAATAAAATGATAAATAAATCGTTATATCTGTTCATATAATTTTCGAGATTTTCCAGTTTTCGTTGAATTTCACGAATGCAACTCGCCTGTAGGCCACACCGTTCGGTATTCGAAGTTGCGATATATGGGAAAAAAACGATGTATAATACTTTATATGTTTTCTTTACAGAAATATCGAATCGTGAAGAGTATTGCTCCAACCTAGCCGCACTTTGCATTTTGACAAGTTAACATCTACACATATTGCTCTATAACATCAAAACCGTAAAAAATACGAAAAAACTTTGTTCGTACGAAAGATGCAGAATAAAATTATGAATAAAATGATATATGAATGGTTAAGTGTGTTCATATAATTTTCTCGAGATTTTCCAATTTTCCTGAAATTTTACGACGGCAACTCGCCTGTAGGCCACACCGTGCGGAATTCGAAGTTGCAATGTATGGGAAAAGAACTAAGAATTTTGAGACCGTTTTAACAATGTACAATATTTTATATGGTTTCTTAAGAGAAATATCAAATAGCGTGGATAATTGCTGGATCCTAATCGTACTTTGCATTTCAATATTTGAAAACATCTTGAGACGGATTTTAAGAATTACCTCAGTTGGAAGAAAAAAGATACAACTAACGATGAAGCGCCTATATGTGATTAGAGTTTGAATAAAAAATAATCAAAAAATATTGGTATAGTTCATTTATTTACTCCAAGGCAATCGCCTGATCGAGCATGTCAACGCATATGCAAAAATAAAACAATTTCTCGCGACAACTTTGATGATTTCATTCCATTCTCTGCGAGCACAATATTTTATGGTACGCGGCAGATCAGAATATTCAAGGTTAGTATTTCTGTATAATCGCATTTCTTGTTTACTTACATTGTAAGAAGGAAAACAAACATCGGCCGTCGGACTCGGGAATAACTGGCTTAAAGCTAAAAGGCGCGCGTGAGTACCACTAACCGAACGGTCAATGAGCCGACAAAATTATGTGTAGCAAATGCCACTACCTCGAAGTTCTGCACGATCTAAATTTGAAAACCGCGAATTATGAGCAAATAAAATATTATACGCTCGGAAATGAGCTTTTTAAAGCGCACCGCGATTTTGTATTTGAAATTTTATGTTCCAATTACAGAGTCTACATACATCGCACATATGAGTTCAGTACGGAATTACTTATGTACAATGGAATTTAATCTTAACACGTTCGTGGATGGTAAAAGTTTAAGCTGCGTTCAACATATTTTAATCTGAATGCTATAGCATCCACGTCAAGTATTACACCTATTTTACGCAATTGCTTGTCCAAGCTAAATAGTGACCACGAAAAAGATAAGACAATACTAAAATACCTTAAGAATCAGTTAGTCACTATCTTTACAGGCGTAAGTATTACAAAAACGTAAGGTTATATAAAATTAAATTCTATATGATTGACTTCAAAATTTTAATGCTATAGCATTCATGTCCGCAATTGTAATAAATATTGTGGATAAAAAACTTTCATGGTATTTTGTATTATTGGATCATTCCTTTATATGATTTATATTGTTGATTTTTCTCATTCCCTGATAAAATCGTTATGTTTTCTTAATACCCAACACATTTGTACATCTATGTAATTTTAATTAATGATATAGAAATAAATCCATAACATTCAGATATATATATATATAAATATTTTATTATTCATTCTTCTCATTCTCAGCTAAAATAATACTCCTTTTTCACTCACAACATATTTGTTCTGTTACATCATTATCACCACCTATTAAATTCTACACATGTGATTTTAATTATTGATAATGAAAAAAAAAATGTTATTCTTTAATTCTCATTAAATTGTGTATTTTATAATTAATTTCAAAAAGTAATGCCCACGAGTTATAAAGCACAATTTGAAAAAATAATTATATGGTTATTCTAAAGCCGTTTTTTCTATAGAACTGCTAGTTTTTTATTTTGGTATTTATTGGTATTTTATTATAACAATTTTTTTCCAGAAGCAATTGATGAAACTATACATAATCATTTATCAGATTCAGAAGTCAATACAAATATTTTTCTCTCAAATATCAAATTCAAAAACAGAAAAAGAAAAATTTTCATTGGATTTCTTAAAAACCAATTTTCGTGAACAATGTGCGTACAATGTTATTACATTTTTATAAAATATTATTAAATGTAATATCTTGCGTAGACCCTAACTTCAATTACGATTATATACTCGTATATTCAGTCTCACTCATTACATTATAATTGGTAAAGAAATTAATGATTTTCAAGCTGCATATATTTAATTATGTCGTTAATTTGTGTCTATAAAAATCTAGTATTTTAATATATATTCTTGAGATATATTAGCACATTTTGATGCATGCCTTTGCTCGAATTTGCACGCAACAAAAATGCAACAAAGCGTATCATACTTCTGATTTATATTCATGAAGAAAGTGCATTAAAACATCAATACAGGCAAAACTACGGTCTAATGTTTTCTAAAAAAAAATACAGCCACGATTTATAGAAAATCGATTATATAAAAATCAAAACATGTAATTGATGCATCATTAATAAATTAATTACTTAAAATTATTATTATGTATTATGTATTTTTAATAACAAATTATTAACTTAGTTATTTAGTATAATCAAGTGAATAATCGTGGGCTTCATGAACGCCAGTTTTGCTTTTCTTTGATGCACGATTTCGAATTTCTTTTAATTTTATTACATTTTAATTTAAATTGCCTGTGAAGAGGCATTCAATACAGATTACCGTTAATTTCATCCTTCGTATGAAGTTAATAAACGTGTTTGAGAATTAATAATTATAAAATTAGTTTGAGAAATAAGAGTATAGGCAATTTTAATCATACGGAGTGCAAATATAACCAAAAACAATGGATCCTCCCGTTAGAAAAAGGCTTAAAATTTATACTCTGATGAACTCCTTTTAAAGATATCTGATTTTAACTCCTAATAAAGATTTCTTTAAATAAGAAGGATACACTAAAAATAGTCTCCGACTAAAATTTTGGCTATTCCATTACTTTATTATATTTATATTACATTTTTGGTTCTATTACCAGCAAATAAAATGTGATATCAATTGTGACAATAGTCAAAAATTGCAATTAAATATAAATTGATTATTTAGCTCGACACAGAACTTAAAAAAGATTTAAATATTTCTAGGTTGTCTTTAATAAATCTCATAAGCACACAGGCACTAAATTATTTAAATATTATATAAGACAATGCACAGTAGCAATTATTTATTTATATTGTTCTTTCATATCCAAATAATAAAAATCATCTCAAAAAATGTATCAAATGACGTTGTAATAATTTCTTACAATTTTATCTGCTGTAACTTTTTTTGAAGATAAGAGCAAATAAATTTATTATCTATGTAAATAAAATAGCACAATATAGTGTTCATTATCTATGTGTTGCATTTAAAAGCGATCCAATCGCAAATACACATATGTGTATTGAAGACTTTATGTAACAGACTCTGGAAACAAAATTATAATGTGTATAGACAAGATAAACATTTGAATGGATGGCCAAATGCCAAAAGTTGCATTTGCATGAGTTACGTTTATTACATGCCTGCACTAACTAGAAAATTGAGCAAGGAGAAAATCTTTGACAAATTGAAATTATTTATTCGTATTTGTTTATTCAGATGAACGACATCATTTAACATTGGATATGGGTACAAATTTTATTACAATCTCCAGAAATACTTTGGTAAAGATCAACTAAAACATACATTTTTGCACGCTACTGAAACATATACATATAACTTTTAACTTATTATTTTTATTATAATATTGATAGTATTATCAATATAGGTTTATTATAAATATATAGGTTTTATTATAAAATTGACAGTATTTTAATAACAATATTTTAGTCCAAAGAGTATGATTTGGGAGTTAGAAAATACTTCGAAAACATTTAAAATGATTTTTTTTTAAATTCAGTTTTAAAATAATCGTTTAATCAAGTTCAAATATCATTTATTATAAAATTATTAGACTGCAACGTACGGTTGTAGCTTAACCAGATTTTAAATTTAAATTTATTACTGAAAATACTTTTAATAATCTACCTATACTTAAACTGAAGTAGTTAAGCGACTAAAACTTAATAAAATTTTAAAACTTCCAGGTAATGAAATTATAAAAAAAGGCAAATATAAAGATAAACGATGAGTATTTATTCTTAATGGAGTGTACAGATTGTTTATTTGTAACACCATTTGCAGATAACTAGAGTTCACAAAATGAAGATTAATTATCTATTAGCACAAATTAGAGAGAATATTAAATATGTTGAAAATAAGCAAGCTTCTAATTAATTTAAGCATGTAACGTAATTAACGAAAATTATATATATATATATATATATATATATATAATATAAATAATATATATATATATATCGCATTTTCTATTTTGTACTTAAAAAAATATTAGTAAAAATTTGATAAAATATGATTAATTAAAGTATAGTACTTTTTATACCATGAAACGAATGCAACAACAAATAAATATACCTGTGGCAAGAATGACAAGGAAAGTCTAGACTGGTTAAAAACAATCAACCGCATGAAGAAAGCAAAGGAAAAAGAGTTACTTGGGCAACCAGTCCAGAACGTTAAAGTTATTATTTCCCCTGATTAGGTTTTTCTGTTTATTTTTTGTATATAAAGTAGGTTTAAGGTATTATTGTAGGTTTAAGGTAAATGATAATAAATATATATCATAAATAATTTATCACCAAATTCGATTAAGGAATTACAACTTCCAAAATAGTTAAAAAACTAACCTCGGGAAGCAGCAAGAACTATATGAGGACTATTCTGCGGCGAAGAAGACCTCTTGATATCCGGAGGAGCTATAACAGATAAGGGCAACCCACCATTTATAGACCGCGGTGAGGCCAAAGGAGAAGGGCCGCCTCCGCAACTACCGTCCAAAGAAATAGCCGGTGTTGACACGGTGGTAATACTGTCCATCGGGTGAAGGGCTTCTTCCGACGGACGTGGGGACGGCTGACCGGGTGCCATTGTTTCCGGCATTATGGGTATTCTGTATATTACAGGTGCTCCGGTCTGCAAACCGCTAAGACCCCGTGCTTCGTCCTGAGCTTGAGCCCTTCGCATCGCTGTTTGCCTCGCCATATCACGCTGCCTATCGGCTGTCAAGCGACATTTCTCACATTTGCAATACAAATAACGGCAGTACCGTTTGTGGCCTTTAAGAGGGATCTTTAAACGGTGATTACGACAGCGGGCGCAATTCGGAGGCGTCCGCGGATTGCCAGAACCGGGCTGGACTCCTTTGATGCTTAGTTGCAGCAATTTGTCTTTCACGTCTTCGTCGGACATCCTTGTCCCTCCGTGGTAATTTATCACAGAAACCATTCACAAAGTTTGATGTACTTTACACATAACACACAGTCTTTGGCACCGGGAAGCTATCATGCAGTTCGAATTGGATAAGATCTGTCTTTGCACATACACGCGGACACTGTTTGCTGATAACGCTATCAGCAGGGACGTTGTCACTAGCGACGAGCGAGGTTATATAAATAATAACATATGCAGTTAAACCTCGCGAAAAAACTGAATTCATGAATTAACACGTGGAATAGTAAAACATTTAACACAAGTGAGGCGAACGCATTTGCAACGAGCGCGTTGCATCGAGAGTTTAGCGAAACGAACGATCGAGTGACGCCGGCCTGACTGAGTGACTGACTGAATGTTTCGCACAGCAAAACGCAGCGACGAGACCGAGACTGCCTGATATGCCTCCGTTCGTGTGTGTGCGTGACGATTGCATTACACCACTATGCTTCACTCTATGCAACGAACACCACGATGCCTCTCACTCCTCTATCATATTTGGGACTCTGGGGCAGAGCGCACTATGCGCGCTATTGGTCAGGACTTCGAGCGAGTCCTTCCTCATAACGACGTCGCGATTGGACCCATAAACACAACAAAACACTATTGTTGTTAAACAATATCATTGTTGAAGGGATTTTGAGAACCTCCAGCAATCTATGTATGCATTTTTGACAACTTCCACATCACTTATCAAGATTGTCAATCAATTTGAGCAAGAGCATCTAAAAGTATACCATTATGACCAGTGTTGTGCTAATATTTTTTTGCCGGAACGCTAAAATTTAAAAACCGGTTCATAAACCGGTTTAAAAACCGGTTTTCATGTTTGTTCCGGTTCCGTTCGAAAAAGAAACAAAAATCATTATATAACCCATTTTATGCACATATATGTATGCTTATTACAACAATAGGAACAATTAATAAAAATCAGTTGAATTATAATTTATAGAATTCACTTATTAAATCATTTTCTATATGTGAACCACGTTCCGGCGCGTTGCGGCTTGACAACACCACTGATTAATCAGCTCGAATCCCCAGCAACAAAAGGATTAGAAATAAAAATTTAAATAGTATTGTGACTTTGTAGTAGAACACAAGAAAAATTGTATTAGAAGTAAGAAGAAAAAAAGTTAAGTTTAAAAGATGAGAAGAATATATTAAGAAGGAAAATCAGTCGTAAGAAAAATTGAATGGAAGAATAGGATGTAAGAAGGGATAGTATAGGATATATGTACCAATGTACCTATAAGAATTGTATAGAATATGAAAATGTAGGTGGCTCAATGCTGTAAGTAAGCGGTTGTCCATTAATCACGTGAGCGAGTTTTTAAGGATTTTTGGACCCCCCTCACCTTTGGTGATACATGGTGATATTCAAAATTACCCCGCCTCCCACCACCGTAACATAACGTGTATTTTTAGATATGTGAAAAATCTGTAAAATTTTCGAATAAAGTAATTTTTTTGAAAATGTTTGATTTAAAAAAAAACAGTTAAAAAATAGATACACGTGATATCTTACTATACCCCTCCCTCCCCCACGTGATATTTCGTGATTTTTTGTCAAAACCCCCGCCCCCTCCCCTAAAAACTTCACGTGATTAATGGATGCCCCCTAAGTGAAGGCCAATAAAAGAAATAAACCGTGTTTATTTGTAATAAATTCTGTTTTCAGCATAATAATTATTAACTTTCTGAAGGAGAAGTTTATGTTTTCGCAAAAAAAATTCAATTCGCTAGTTTTCTCGATTTTTCAAGATCCGATTCAGATGTGACTAAATTTGGAAAAATTATGTTTGTGTGTGTAAACTGTTCGAAAGATTGGAAATCGCGTTCATTAGTTTTTGGTAAACAACGGCCGGACCGTTTCTTTGTAATTAAATGTTGAAATTGTTTGCATTTTTGACGATTCTTATGGAAATTTGTATACATATAAATACCGTAGTCTGATATAATTTACTAAAATATTATAAGCCTACCGGCTGAATTATAAAAATTCATCAAAATTTAGAGTTCTGCCGAGAGTTTGTTCGATTCCAATCAGAATCTATGCCCAATCATATGTACATTCTGGGAGGAAGATACTGATCACAATTTATATCCACATTTAAAATATACATTTTTAGAATACGAATTAGATAAAATAAACTGAGTTGAACAAACTAATTTAATTTATACAATTTCATTTATTATTTATACGTAAGTTTGGAAATTGTGTATCTTTTTCGTAATAGCAATAATTTCATTTTCGAAATAGCATTTTGCCTCTATATAGCTGAATCTCAATTCTTATTAATTAAGTTGATTTTTATATGTATCGGTATATTAAAGCAACTTGCCTTGAAAGCAAAATGCTACTTACAACTAGTTTTTTATAATTTCTACCAATATTATTACCCAAATGTGAATTCCTTAACGCCCCAATATTAACAATACAGTTATAGCATAATTTTTAATTAAATATTTTCATATATTTAATATTGATAGAACTCCCTTGCTAAAATGTTTTAAATTTGAAACAATATTAATGCAATTGCATAGAAATACATACTGAAAACGGTCCGAAAATTAGAGGCAAGGAAACAATGTTTGCACATCAAACTATCATATAGGTATTATTTAATTTAAATAAGAATTGTATTCTATAGTATGATCATTATAAAAAGATATCATTCACTTTATATTTACTATAACAAACAGTTCAAATATTCGCCTCTAAAGTGAAAATAAAAATTTGAAGTAGCCAGGATTTTGGTGAAAGAACCAGACCAAAATAGAATCTTACTAAGATGGCATCAAATTTTTTTGCATACTTTTATCGAATGGGAAGATGACAAAGGTCAATAAAAATTGAAAACAATAAACAAAGCAATAGAAAAAATAATTCGATTCCTTGTAAAATGTATGTAAATATTTGTTCTTAAAGATATGTTTAAGATTAAACGTTATGCTGCATTTTAACTATGTATTTCAAGTTATACGAAAAAGTCGCTTTATTTACTTAGATTTTATATGTGCATGTTGTAGATAAATTAATAAGAATTTTTTAAAAAAAAATTCTTACAATTAGAGAACAAAAGTTATGTTAGCTAATTAATTTCAGAAATCATTTTCTGCTTGAATTTAGGCATAATAAGTCGATTCATTCTAGGTTGTCTTGAATATAATGAGGGATAAATACTATAATTTTCAATATTGAATTCAATATTTATGAACACAATAAGGTATAAATATTTGCCTAAAAATAATGCAGAGTAGAAATATAAAATTTGTATTGCATTTTCACATATATATAAATAATAAAAGATGTGCCAATGAATTTTTAATAAAAAAATATTTTTAGTAAAAGTGTACTGTCTTTTCAAATAAAATAGTACACTTACTATCCCTGTCCCTTCCTCTCCTTCGATCAAAAAACGTCCTTTTTAATATTTTGAACCTCAATTTCAACATGTTAATGCTTTGAACAAAATTATTGTTCCTTTTCACCGTATCTTTGTTACATTATACCTTAGGCAATATTATATATTTTTTTTTTAATAGCAATCAGAACCTTACGTCCTATGAGCTGTTGGGTTGAAACTTCTACATCGTATTTTTAGATGGTAACCCAATGGTTAATCCATCCATATTTGATGATTTTTGTTATTAGAATTAATCTAATAGAGCTGACTTTTTATTAGCGCAACAATGCCGAGTAAGGGCTATTTTCACTTGGAAACATATTGCTATCTACATTTCCAAGTGAAAATCGTTGTCATTGCTGCCTGATAACAGGCTGCTCGGAGTGGGTATCGAACCCGGGACCTCTGAAACAAGTCCCGTCGCTCTTAACCGCTTACCTATGGGCGAACCCCAATAATATATAAAAGTTAAAAGAAATAGATAAACTAACCTCTGGAAGCGGCTGTGACGATATGAGGACTGGTCTGTGGCGAAATCCTTTTGATATCAGGCCCTGCAGTACCTATAACTGGCAAGCCACCACTTATGGACCTCGGGGAGGCTAATGGAGAAGGGCCGCAGCTACCATCCAAAGATCTAGGCGGTGTAGACACTGTGGTAACACTGTTCATCGCGTGGAGGGCTTCCTCCGAAGAACGCGGAGACGGTGTGGCGGGTGTCATTGTTTCCTGTACTATAGGTATTCTGTACATCACCGGAGCACCGGTCTGTAGACCGTTCAGACCACGTGCTTCGTCCTGAGCTTGGGCCCTCCGAAGCGCCGTTTGCTTTGCCATAACACGTTGCCTGTCGGCTGTCAAGCGACATTTCTCACATTTGCAATACAAATAACGGCAATAGCGTTTGTGACCTTTAAGAGCGATCTTTAATCGGTGATTGCGACAGCGTGCGCAATTCGGTGGTGTCCGCGGCGTGCCGGAACCCGGCTGGCCGCTGGTGATGCTTAAGCGTCGCAATTTGTCTTTCACGTCTTCGTCGGACATCCTTGTCCCCCCGTGGTAATTGATCACGGAAACCATTCACACAGTTTGATGCACTTTAAACATAACACTCGGTCTTTGGAACCAGAAAACTAATTTACAATTCGATTTGATTAATACTGTTTTGCACACACACTGTGACACTGTTGCTGATAGCTGATAACACTATCAACAGAAATTATGCGAAGAAAAAAAAGTACGATACTAAGTCTTAGTAAATTATAACATTTGACGTTAAACACATGGAAGAGTAGAACACTTAACAATTTGCAAAGCAATGCGACGAGGCGAACGCGTGCACTGCGGGATATAAATAGCGTGCGCGTTGCATCGAGAGTTTAGCGAAACGAACGATCGAGTGACGCCGGCCTGACTGAGTGACTGACTGAATGTTTCGCACAGCAAAACGCAGCGACGAGACCGAGGCTGCCTGATATGCCTCCGTTCGTGTGTGTTAGTGACGATTGCATTACACTACTATGCTTCACTCTATGCAACGAACAACACGATGCCTCTCACTCCTCTAATATATTTGGGACTCTGGGGCAGAGCGAACTATGCGCGCTATTGGTCAGGACTTCGAGCGAATCCTTCCTTATAACGACGTCGCGATTGGACCTATAAATACAACAAAACCCTTTTGTTATCAAACAATATCATTATTGAAGGGATGCTGAGCACATCCAGCCTCCTTGCATACAATTTTGACAACATTTAAATCATTTTCAAAGTCAGCGAACGCATCCAAAATCTGCAAACCATAACAATCTGATATCAACAATTATTTATTTTTAAACTGTAAATATGTATAATAACAATAGACATATTAAGCGATATAAACTACACTTAACCCCACAATCAGATTCGCATTTATAATCAAAGTAGCATTTTGTCTCAAGGCGAGTTGCATAAACTTCCTGATACGTATACATAATCAACTTAATAAGAATTGAGATTCAGCTATTTAGGTAAAATGCTCAACTGTTATTTAGAAAATAACCAATTTTGCGTTTTTGGAAAAATAACCAATGCGATTTACAATTTGTTTTTCAAACCTAATATATGTAATTGTATAAATTAAATTAATTTGTTTAACACGTATGAAACGGCTCGTTCAGCATTGATTCTGATCAGAATCTCTTAAGCGTATGGAGAAATTCGAAACTTTGATGAATTTTTATAATTCAACTGCTCATCGTAGGTCTACGATATTTTAGTATTTTATTTTACACTCCAAAATCTACCATTGTATATCGAAAATAATTCAAATTTTATTTTTAATTCTGACTAAAGTTTTAAATCTCACATATACTAAAGAATTATTAGATGCTTTTAAAAAGAATAATAGTTATTGATTTTGAATTAGAGGTTGAAAAAATACTACAATGCAAGGAGATAAAATATATTTTATCAAAAACCATATAACTCTTCGCATTGTAGTGTTTATAGTATTTTTTCAACTAATTCAAAATTAATAATTATTGACAATATTCTTTCTGAAAGCATCTAATAATTCTTTATGAAGTTCTGAAAAAAAAATAATTAAAAATAACATCCACAAATTAAAAAGCAAAGATTATTTTGCAAAAATTTTATTTTAAGATAATTAACAGTGACGCGCACACATATATTGACACATTTATGTTTATTAATTAACATAATTAATTAAATATTTTAATTTTGATAATTATATGTACTCAATTAGGATGCAACTTTTTTCCTCACCACCCATGGGGTAAAGTTGCCAGGCGCGTTTTTTTTAATGTGGTGTCGCCACAGAAATAGATACTTCTATTCATATTTACGTTTCTAACATTTCAGATGGAAATGGATATAATGTAAATACTACTAAGTATCGATTTGTGCAGCCCTAATCCACTTAAACTAACTTACACACTAATTATACCTAACTGACTCAAATATATCGCGAAAAGAAGAATCCCCGCGAAATAACCTAATGTACCCAAATATTTAGGTTTTTAAAAATGAAAGAACCTCTCGTGGTAAAGAAAAAAATCAATATAAAATGTGTACTTTAGTATTTTAGCGGTGATTGTAAATTTATAAAAAAAGAGCATTTACATGATGTACCCCCCAGATCCACCATGTAAACACTTGAAAAAACTTCATAGGTTCCCAGCTTATGAAGTTTAAGGACAAATGATAATTAATTAATTAATGTAAAGAAGAGCGCGAAAAATATAAGAGAAGTTCTTTCATGACGCCACCCTTTTGAGCTCTGAATAAAAGTACGCGAACAACCCCAAAAAAGGTACGACCGAAGATTTTAATGTTAAAACGTCCCCTAACCTGATATTAACTAAATACTTCTATAATAATAGAAAGTCTTATCTCACAGTTAATTTTCCTTTCGATTTTGTCATATCATCCAATTCAGTTGTAGGCGGTAGTTCAGGTAGTAGTGGTGCTAGTTGGTTTTGAGTTGATATTTTCTGCCAAATCTCGTGCAAGACCTAAAAAAAGGTAAACAAGAATTTCATTACATTTATTCGTATGGGTTGCAGAAGTAATTGTTGGTACCCACTTGTACATATCCTTTAATCCGGTAGTGGTCTCTTGGTGGTTCGTGTATATCTTGGTAAAACATATAGACATACAATACAATGTCTTATTTGATAGACATCTGAAATGAAAAAAAACACAAATGCCCCTAAAAATAGGGACAAACAAATAAACGGGGCCCCGGTTATATTAATAAAAGAATATATGGTTATAACTAAGGTCTAATTAACAATAATACAATAAAAACCTGCTGGTGCATATGCATATCCTCCTGGCAGTTATTTGGAAGTCCTGGTGCTTTGTGGAGCAAATAGAAATTGGTTCTGTAACCCTGAAATAAAAAGAAAAAAGATTTATACATATTACTTAGCAGTATGCCATTGATTTTAGTGTCTTGGTACATCAATTAGTCTGACCAATTTTCTCCTACGGGTTGTGGAAGTAGTTCTTGGTACTCACTTGGTAAGCAATTTTCTTGGAAAGATATCTGAAATGAGAAAAAAAAACACAAATGCCCCTAATAGGGACGAACTTACAAACGGGCCCCGGTTATATTAATAAAAGAATATATGGTTATAACTAAGGTCTAATTAAAAATAATACGATAAAAACCTCTACATATGCATATCCTCCCTCCCTCCTGGCAGTTATTTGAAAGTCCTGGAGCTTTGTGGTGCGAAAAGAAATTAATTCTGTAACCCTGAAATAAAAAAAAAATTATACATATTACTTAGCAGTATGCCAATATTTTTTATGTCTCGATACATTAATTAGTCTGACCAATTTCTCCTGTGGGTTGTGGGAGTAGTTCTTGGTACTCTTGGTAAGCAATTTTCTTGGAAAGACATCTGAAATGACATAAAAAAAACACAAGTGCCCCTAAAAATAGGGGCAAACATACAAACGGGGCCCCGATAACAAAAAAAAAATTATAAACTTATATCTAACCTAGGTCTAATTACTTAATATTAACTTATGAATACGAGAAAACCTGTAGGTATCCATATTGAGGTGAACTGAAAGGGTTAAGGGTACTCTTGTTAGAGTGTAAAGATTGTTATTTGGTATGTTTAGCATCTCACTCCCCAATATGAAGGGTTTACCTTAGCGCCCTAATTCGACTCAACAAAACCTGCAGTTACCAGTGGAGATTTTAACTAACTACACAATTAAAACAGAATCTACTTACCAACTTATTGATTGTTACCGAGTTATGTTTACAGATCCCAAAGCTTGACCGCACTTATGTATAGTGATGCATTAAGCCTAAATTCGAATGTACTAACGATGGGGTAATGATGAAGCTAGAAATGATTAAAAATGTATAGAACGGCGTAATTACGCAGATGAAAGCTTAAAATCGGAAAACTCGATCGGATTTTTCTAGATCGTGTTCTTTTTTCCTGGCACAACATCACAACCATCACTAATGCATTAACTTGTGTCCTCCGTATTGGATTGACCACATGAGAGGACTGATACTAAAAAACGATCGCGACTCCGGACCTCATACGATAGGAGCCTTATAGGCAGGTGAGGATTTAGTTTAGGAGTTTAGAAACTCCTTGGAAATGATGTATGTAGTCTTTATCGCGACTCTGGACCACATACGACAGGAACCATACAGGCGGGCGGCGGATGTAGTTTGCACTAAAGGTTGTGCAACACTTTGGAAACATTGCATGCTGTCGTTACAAAGACACAATCACTTTTTAAGTATCAGTCCTCTGAGGTAGTCAATCGAGTCGGAAGTACACAATTAGTGTATAGTGGTGCGTGTGTTGTTCCATAGGCGAAGAACACACAATCCAGAAAAAGTGAGGGTTCTCCGATTGTATGCGATCCCCTTTGTCATCACGCCGTATCATACACATCTATAATTTCAAGCTTTTGATCAACCAAAACAATAGTATATCAGAATTTAGACTTAAGACATGACTACAAAAATACAGTCATATCTTGGCACCTACGACGAACACAACTAGGTAACATTAAATAAGTTAATAAGTATAGATTCTGTTTCATTTGTGTAGTTAGTTACGCACTCTACAGATAATTACCGGTTTTTATTAAAAGTCAGATTGGGGCGCCAAGGTAAACCCTGTATATTGGTAAACGCAATGCCAAGATGTACCAAGTAGCAGTCATTGCACCCCAAAAAGGGTACCTTCAACCTTTTTAATCCACCACAATCTCCTAGCAGTCCTGGTGCTTGCCGTCGCGGTGAGAAATTAATTCTGCAATCCTGAAATGAAAATTGACTTGAAAGAAATAAAATAGACAATGACTTATAAATACTATGTGGTAGCCTACTCGTATTTATTTCAGTGCTCTGGTACAGCATATCGGTACACATGTTCTCCTGTTCGTTATAGTACTCAACCCTCTGGTATCTTTAGCCGAGGCCCATTTACACTAAAATAAATGTCAATTTTGTTATTTTTTTTACATAATTTAGGGTTTTGTATCATCTTACCTTTTTTTTTAACTTCAAACAGTACGTCTTCAACATTTCTCCGTTTAGGAGACTTATTGCGCAATCACAAAAAATTTAAATTATTTAATTAAAACATATTGCATTGCAGCAGAAAAATCATTCAAAATAAAAAGTAATTTATTTAACAAAGTTTTTAGATTTTTGTCGAGTTATTTACATCCATGCTACTAATAAAATAATTCCAAAAAATTAAACATTGTACATATAATACTAATTAGAAATTAAAGTGTATGGGGTTGCGCTGCTTCTGGGAAAAACAT